AGATTATTTTTTTAAACAGGGCAACATTACTTGCTTCATCATTAGAGTAAAATAAATTATTCCACTTCACATATTATGTAAAATCAGAACAAAGATGTGGAAAATGATCATAAAAAGAACTAGAAGAAAACACATATGACTAGACTCTTAAATATAAAAGCGAAGTAGAAACCATAAAAAAATTAAAATGTATGAAAAACTCAAGGAAACTAGGAAAGGAAAGAAAAAATGCAATCAAGTAAAAGATGAAGAGTAAGGAAAATTATGATAGTGTTTAGCAAAAGGATTGTGCCCTACATAAGGTAAATAAAAAGTATATCACATATATAAACCACCTCAAAATGGACAAACGTGCATTAGAAAACACCGGGTACCCATCTCTCCAGGGACTGTCATAATTAAAGAAACATACACATCCTATGAAAAGGCGAGACAACCTGGAAATGTGCATTCTCTTATGGATTTTGATGTTTTTTTGCCATACTGAACTCAGGGCCTCATGCATGCTTGGCAAGTGTGCTTCCACTGAGCTCTATCCCTGGCCCTTTTTAAATTTTGTGAGTTGGTCAGGCTAGCCTCAAACATGTGATCCTCCTTCCTCAGCCTCCAATAGCTGGGATTATAGGCGTACACTACTACCATGCTTGGCTTCTCTCAAACTTTACAGTGAAATGTCGATCAGAGGTTTCCTGAGACGGAAGGATGGGATGGGTTGTCTCAGTATGTTGCTGGGGTTAGTCTCAAACTCCGGGGTGCAAGGGAACCACCGCCACAGCCTCTGAGAGCTGAGGCAGTAGACACCCAGCACTGGTCAAACACGGTTTAACAATACTTAGGGAGAAGGTTTAAAAACAGTTCACACGCACTGACTCAGCAATTATAAGACAGACCCAAATCCTAAAAACGCTGTAATGAGACATAGAGAGAAAGACCTAATCCAAAGATGACCTCCACTCTATAATAACAGAAACAGAGGACATGAGTAATTAATAATGGTACTTCTGTAAGATGACATGCTATGTACTTGTTAAAATTCCTATTTTTAGTATCTTTGGATCTAGTAAACATGAGGCAGTCCCTGCCCTCAAGCAGTTTTACACAAAAACAGGGCACACAGAAAAATAACCAAATAAATAGTTTCAGGTGACAGTTTCTATGAAGAAGCAATGCAGTGGTCAGTGAGCGACCCCTCTGAAGGAGTGACATCTGACGGTGCTCTCTAAAGAAGGAACAATTTAAGGAAATAAGCTTTGCATGCTTAAGAATCTCAAAAGGTTGGGAGACTGAGGCAGGAAAATCACTGCAAGTTAGAGGCCAGCCTGGACTACACTGAGCTCAGGGCAGCCTGAATTATACAGTGCGATCTTGTCTCAAAAAAGCAGAACAAACAAACCCAAACTCAAAAAGCCAGGATTCGGAGGAGAACGGTAGCCGAGTTACCTGGGTAGCAGGCTCAACCTGAGCTGTCTTGGAACAGCTCTGCCCAGCTCAGTAACCTCGAGTCATAGTGATTACCAAGCACTTGAAACTCAGCCAGTCTTGAACTGAGATGTGCTGCCAGTACAAATAACAGATTAAAGAAAGTAAAGTATTTTACTACTAGTCTCTTATACTGATTATATGTCGAAAATAATCACGTTTTGAGTAATACAAAACGTATTTCACCTGTTTACCTTCTTTACAATGTGGCTATCAAAAAACCTGAAATTACCCAGCGATTCCCTTTTGTGGCTTGCAATTTGTTGTTGATGTTGTTGTCTTTTGAGACAGGGTCTCGCTGCATAAGTCCAAGCTGGCCTTGCACTCACTATGTAGCTCAGGCTGGCCTCAAACTTGCAGCAATTTTCCTGCCTCAGCCTCGTGAGTGCTGAGATCATAGGTCTGTGCCACCACAACTGACTGCAACATATTTTTATTAGCATCACTAGTCTGGGGTATATAAACCACAGTAAAAAAAAATTGTATTTTATTTTGTGTACTGAAATCTACTGAAAAGCCAGGTGCGGTGACACACATATGCAATTCCAGTTATTTAGGAGGCTAAAGCAGGAGGATGGCAGGTCTGGGCAACTTAGCAAGTTAGGGAGATCCTGTCTCAAAAATTAAAAAATAAAAAGGGGTGGGGATGTCGGCCTCACAAAGGCAGTGAGTTCAATCCCTAGTACCTCAACAAGAAGTAAACAAATAGGCTGAGCTGTAGCTCCGCAACCCCTGGTTCAATCCAACCCCTGGTTCAATCCCGGCGACGCTGGGAGAGAAAGAAAAAGGGCTGCAGGGTCTGGGCCTGGGAGCAGAGCACTCTCCCGCACGTACGCAAACACGTCCTTCCCACAAGGAGCACCCAGAGTGGACTGCAAAGGATCAACGGCTGAGGCCAAGGACACAGCCAGCTGACTACTCCTTCCATCTTATGTAAAGCAAAGGTTTAGCATGTCATATTTGGGGTAACTTCTCACTTATTCCAAACAATGTCTACAATTAACTTTTAATAGTTTACAGAGGATACAAAAACGCACAAAGACCGATGGTATACCTGACAAAATGTTAACGAAGATTAACTGTGGTAGTGTTAAGCGTGGCCTTTGGATCTTTTTAAATTTCTTACTTTTGGTAGTAAGAATTAAACTCAGAGTCTTAGAACCGAGCTATATCACCTGTTTTACTTATTTTGTGACAGTCTCCTTGTTAAGTAGTCCAAGCTAGGTTCAAACTCGGGGGCCTCCGGCTCAGCCACTTAAGAGTGCAAGGTTACACATGTGCACCCCATGCCCAACCAGGGTGGCTTTTCTTTGTATCTGTCTACTCCTCTCTAAGTCTGGGAGGAAATACACATACTGCTACTGCCCTTTTAATCAAACAAAAAATAAGTTTCTTTAAAGCAGCCTAGTAAGGCCCTCTCCAAACAATGGATCCTAGGAGTTGTCAGCAAGCTGCATACTTTCATGCTTTCACACAAAAACTGTTCAAAGCTGTCCACACAGTCATGCTACACACTGCCTCTCTTGCTACATACACGATCTCCAGAAAATTAAGGAATACTGTGCCCTAATTTGTAATTGTATGCTACTGGCATGATACAGCAGTTATACCCATCGCACACTGTGTGTCTTTCTCCAAAAGACACACAATGCAACTGCACAGTAGCATCTCAGCTCTAACGCTTTCCTTTAAATTCTGCCATCTGACAGGCGCTTCTGTTAACTAAAGTTAAGCACACCGTTCACTACAGTTAAAATACACTTAGGACAGGTTTCTTCCATGAGAACTCAATCGAAGCAAAGATGTGTAATGTGCTCAAGTGTTTTCCTCTGCCTACAACTTACATCTTTTCCTTAGTTCCTTTCTTCCCTTTTTCCATTCCTCTGTCCCTGTTTCTGTCTGTCTGTCTCTCTTTCCTATGCTCTACCTCGAACCCAAGACCTGGTTCATACCAGTCCTAGTCAAGCACTCCACTGCTGAGCCCTAGCCCCAGGCCCTTCTCTCTTTCATTCTGAGAAGAATTTGGACTAGTTGCACATTTGGCCTTAACCTTGTGATCACCTGCATCAGCCTCCACGTAACAGGTATTACAGGCACGCACCACCAGGTTCAGGCAAACCTACTATTCTTGTACTGAAAAAGGATACCAAATTGTGTACACCATAGTTTCAAAGGACGAGATTTATTATGTAAAGATTAGCAGGAATCATAAGTTTCTTACGTACATGTTCAACAATGAAGAATAAATCACTATAACTACGAGTTTCTTCCATTTAAACAAAATAGGGAATCCCAATGTTCTTCATTTATTTTTTTTAATTTTATTTCTAAATGTGTCAATTTATTTAACCCCTACTGATCTAACATGTTCTGATGCAATTTACATTAAGTATTTAGAGAAGCTCTTGCACAGAAATGTTCATAAAGCACGGCTACTAAAGCCCAAAAAATAAAAATCAACAGCTTATATACCCATGACTTATGAAGACAAATACTGTCAAACACTGAAATGAACTATAGCCACACAGTTTTTTCAAATATTTTGATCGTTTCATCCCCCACTGTCCTCCCTTACACTCCCTTCCAGTTTTATCTTTTTACAGTTATGTATTCTTTTGCAGGAGTAAATATATTTTTGATTACTTTTTACATTTTTTATTGAAATATGACATACAATAAACTTCACAGACGTAAAGTGTACAAATGTGAGAAGTTTTGACATCTGTATGCATACAGGAAATTGTTGTCATCAAGTAAATTCATCAGCTGCTAAATCTCTCCCCTTAAGGCTCTGTGATTCCCACCTTCCGTAAACATACTTTCAAAATGTAAGAAAAAAAAAAATTGGGACAACCTGTTTTGGAAATTTAAATCTTCACCTTGATTCCCGGTACAAAAAAAAAAAAAAAAAAAAAAAACCCCAAAATCAAAATATAAATCCAGTTCAAAATACAAATCTGGTTTGAAAAAAGGAGTTTGATCTCCACTCCCCGGGCATGGAAACTACTAAGGCTACCAGCTTTCCAATCGCTGAGAAAAGGTTCCCAGAAAGGTCCCGGCGCCCGGGAGTCCCGAGTCGGCACCGGAAGCAGCTTCTCTGGGCAGGGGTGCCCCCACCCCGCGTCACGGCGTCTCCGAGAAAGCAAACGCCTTCGGACTACACAGGCACCAGAAAGGCGGACACGCACCGCCACGCCACAGGGGCCCCGCGCCTCGCGGCTCCCCACTCACTTCCGGCCCGCGGGACCCGGGGCTGGGGTCCTCTGACCCGGGCGGGGGACACGGGAGGCCAAGTGGACACGAGGGGCCCGGGTCTGTGCCTCGCCCTGGGCGCTCGAGCAGGACACGAGGCGGGCAGGGGTCCTCGCCGCAGCGGGCGTGGGGGACACTAGTGGGCCGCCGGCCGCTGGCCTCAGGCGGGGCAAGGATGGCCCGGGCTCCTCGCCTCTGCCCCGGCGCTCTAGGGGACTCGGACCCGCCCCACCCGTGGAGGCGAAGGCGGCGCGCGACTCGCTGCTCACCTGACGGCGGCCTCTCCGCCGGACGCGCCCGCCGCCGCCGGTCGCCGCGGTGAGTGGGCAAGGTGAGGCCGCGCACCCCGCTCGCCCGGCTGTTTACTAAACTTTTCTGGGTGGCCGCGGGGCCGCTGACGCGCCGCGGAGAGCGCAGGGATTGGCCCGCCGAGCGACGCTCGCCGCCCGCAGCCCGCAGGATTGTGACCTGGGGGGCGGGGCTGGAAGCGGGGACAAGGGCGTGGCTTGGACGACAGCTGCGGCCATTGGCCTTGGCTCGGAAAGGGGCGGGGCGAGGCTCCCTGCAGTCCAACCCCAGACCGCCGGCCTCGAGTGGCGCTCCGGCGGTGGTGCAGGCGCAGGTTGTGCTCGTACCCTCGGTCCGGCCTTCCGCGAGGCGCAGTCCAGCTGCACTCCCCGCGACAGTGAGGCGGGGGCTCCCGAGTTTGCGCCCTCGAGCTGCGAGGTTGGGGGCGCAGGTGGGGTCCTTCTCTGCGCAGTCTGTTAATATTTTAAATTTCGCAGCTTTGTTAGTGGTGAGGGTTTTGCATTATTTTTGATTTTTTAAAATCGCTAACGCTTGAACAGTGTTCTGTGCCCTATAAACATATGTGCATACAGGTGATGATTCACCCAGCAGCTCCACGAGTTTGGCCAGGTGGTGTTTGTGTCGCGTAGCGCAGACGATGCTGGGAACGAAAGCTGTTGAGTTGCCGGAGTCACAGGGCCGCGGGGAGCACAGCCGCTTGTCAATCTGCGCTGGGAGTTAGGCTCTTAATCTTCGCGTCGGTCCTCGTCCCAGAGCCTCGCAACAGAAATATGCATTGCTAAAGACTGGGACAGAGTCTGACCTTTGGCTTTCAAAGTCAGAGGAGTCAAGCTCCTGTCCTTGGATCACCAATGCCGTCTTTTTGTGGGTTGCAAGTATTAGAGTTTATTTCCTAACATCTCTGTGTTGGGCCTTAAGTTTTCACAGTTGTAGGAAATTCAAACATCAAGAGAATTTAGGATACCACCTGGCATGTTGAGATGAGGATTTGGCTTATAATAATGCAAATAATTATAATTTTGCTGTGTATACCATTTGCTCAAATGTGTATTTTGTTACTAAATTAAAATAATCTACGGTACAAAAACATTTCAGGATTTTTGTGATGACAACATATTTTGTCTGTCAAAGAGGACTATGCAAAAGGCGAAACTCCTTGATTGAAAAAAATGTTGCTTTACTGCCATGTCCAAAATGGAGCAGTTGGGATGGCACATGCCTACAATCCCAGCATTTGGGAGGCCGAGGCAGGAGAACTGAAAGTTTTATTTTGTTTTGTTTTAAGAATGGCAAGTTGGAGACCATCTTAGACTATATAGTGCAACTGTCTCAAATAAAAAGTGAAGAATAAAGTTTTGCCAATTAACGTTCATACTCTTCGACTTACCATCATTTTTTAAAGTCTTTTGTACCTGAAAACACTGTCAAAAAGAAACAGTCACTGTCTAGTAAAAGCTACACTCCCTGATTACTTATTATCTTTCTGGCCCTGTACTAAGCATTTATATTATTTATTTGATGAAGATGTAATTAAATACACATGTAAATATAGTCACATGATTTTTGACAAAAATATAAAAGTAATTGCAAGGCATTGGGGATTTAGCTCAGTGGCATAAGCACCTGCCTGTCAAGCGCAAGGTCAATCCTCCATACCAAAAAAAAGTAATTGCAATTTAGACACAATAGTTTTTCAACAAATAGTGCTAGAATAATTGGTCATCCATATGGGGAAAAGTATACCTAGTCACAGCCATTATGTCTTTTACAAAAATTAACTTAAACTGGATTATAGACCTAAATATAAAATGCAAAGCTTATAAAACTGCTACCAGAAAATTCATTTTTTGAGTTTTGCTGATGGGTTTTTAGACATAACAGAGAAAGCATAATCTATGCAAAAGTACGTGTTATACTTGATTAAAATTAACTTTTAAACAGCATGGTAAGCTATGCTGTAATCTCGGCATTCTGGGGGGCTGAGGCAAGGAGGATTGCAAGTTGGATCTCAGACTAGATAATTTAACAATTTAATAAGGTCCTGTCTCAAAAGAAAAAACAAAATTTCAAAAGAACTGACATTGTTACTCAGTGTGAAGGCCCTGGATTTAGTCCCTGCTCTCACAAAACAATAATAACCTTGGCTGCGTGAAGGACGCTAACAGTGAAAATGAGGGAGTGAGGCAGGAAATATTGGCAAAATACATACTGATAAGGACGTGCAAAGAACTCTTTAAAAACTCAACAAAAGACAAACCCCCCAAAAGGAAGAAAATTATGTCTTTTTCTTTTTTTTTTCTTTTTTAAAGACAAAGTCCTACTATGTAGCCCAGCCCTGAGTCAGTTTTGGAAAGCTAGGATTATAGGTGTGTACCACCATGCTCAGTGTAATTGTTTTTCAAGTAGGCAAAATACTCACTTAAAAGACAGAAACTTCAGCAAAGAATATGTAGAGATAATAAGAATGTGAGAAGATACCCAATGTCATTTGACTATAGGAAAATTTCAATTAAAATCGGAGTTAGGTACCACTGTGCACTTATTAAAATGGCTGGAATAATCCAGGTGGAACTGGGTTGAATTTGTGTTGGAGACATCCTTGTATGCTCATATTTAAGGTGAGCTACAGATGGGTGCATAGGAATATTCGTGTATGTGCACATATGTGTGTATTAGGACATGCATATCTTCTCACTCTGTCACCTGAGAGGATCCAGAGGCAGTTACACCCTACGAATAACCAGCACATCTGGCACCTGGATCTTGCCTTGTGATACCAATCCAATAAAAGGAGCCAGCTCTCCTAGGACAGCCACCCTAGGACCGGGGCGGGGAGTACACAAGCCTATCTGGTCCTCCCCATTCCTGTGCAGAAAGTACAGAAGCACTCAGGAAATCCTACTGCAGCCAGGGCTACTTCAGAGGAACACAGGCCTGCCTAAAGAGTTCCCAGTACCAAAAGTGGAACAATTTGATTAATAAGGTTAATAAACCAGCATTAGATTATCATCCAAAGTACAAAGCTAATGCCCTTGAGTCCAAAGTGACATACATAAATGACAGAATAAGTCAATGGGGTAAATATTTGCTCCCAAAGAGAATCCCAAATGGTTTATGTGTGTATCTTGCTTTCAAGGAGTTGGGGTGAAATCCCCGTTCTTTAGGTATGGAATATTCACAGGGACCTCCTTTCACTTCAACAACTAGTGTGTGGAAATGGGGGAAAGGCTAGTACCTCCGTGAAGAAGTGTGCAACTCCTGCCTCGGCCGAGCAGGGTCACCCCCGCCAGTGGCCAGTTCCAGCCCTAGCCTGTGCCCATGGTGCCGTGCTCAGAAAGGTGCTTTACCTCAGTGCTCACGCCCTCCCAAAGCCATACCCGGTGATCCTGGGGAAGAAGACTGAGTCCTGACAACAGTGTTCCTCACAACCAGGAAGGTCATCGGACAGAGGGCGTCTCAGAAGCTGTCACAGTCTGGCCAAGACCAAGGCTGTGTGACGGTGGCTGGCAATGTGGGTCCTGGGTACAACTTGGGGTCAGATAAAGGACATTAAGTAGACACCAAAGAAATCTGGAGAAGGTGGAGATTTCAGTCAACAGTGTGCTCCATTCATTAGCTGACACCTTTACCGTAAGACACTCATAATGCAGGAACTGGCCATGGGTTAAATGGGAACTCTGGAAAACTTCTATATTTTTCCATAAATCCAAAATCATTCTGAAATAACTTCAAAATATAAACTATTCTAAAATAAAAATTCTGTTAAACATAGTGCTTGGTTTATTTTCTGAAGTGACCCCTCAGACGCTCCTCCAACCCCGTTTCTATCAGTGACCTTGTGTCAGGAACCTCCCTCTTCAGGCTTCTGGCTGGCAGACCACAGTGGGGCCACTGCACACATATGACTGGCTGTGTCGGCCGGACAGACAGACGCCTGGCTAGGCTGGGCCCATAGACATGGTCCTTGGACATTTTTCCTGCGCCATGGTCTCATCCACGCTGGCTCAGACTCTGCGCCTGGAGGCCGAACCTGTGGGCTTCCTGGAAGAGCAGCCCAGGACTGGGCTCCAGATGCGGGAAGTAGCTATGTGTGGGGTCGGGCTGCTGGCTCCTGGTTCTGGCTGCAGTGGGCGCGCAAGATGGGCAACAATGTTCCCGCAGAGCTGCTGTCAGTGGCTTTTCCTGCCAGCTGCTTCTCCAACCCAAGGCAGCAGCTCCCCCTCACCCCTTATCAGCCCAAGCACAACCTCCAGCTGGCACTTATCAGGAGCCCTGCCAGGCCCCAGTGCCCAGGCCACCAGGCAAACACATCCCTGCCCCGTGAGCCCTCAGTAAACATTTGTCAATGAAGTAGCCAGCCAATGAATGGCAAGGTGCTCAAGTCTTGGGGACTCTGAGACAGTGCAGCCTAGTGGGCAGAGCACAGGGCAGCGGGGCTGGCTCAGACGTGGGTTCTTGAACCTAGCAGGTAAGAGGCACATCGTGCAGTTCCTGATCTTTAAAGTGGATATCTTCCTTAGTACCTTGACTAAATGAGAAACAGATTATGCAGAGTGCTTAGCATAGTGTCTGGCCCAAAAATCAATGTTCCCTAAGCAGTAGTTATGCTATCTGATTAGTTACCTAGTCTACTCAGGACTAGATTTGGCCTTTCAAATGGATAAATGAGTAAGTACATAGACGGTTCCATATGCACGAGGGCACTACTTTAGAAAAATACTGAGCTGGGCATGGTGGCGCTGCTTGTAACCCAGCACACAAGAGGCTGAGGCAAGGGGGCTACTGTGAGTTTGAAGCCACTTTGGGCTAAAAGTGTCTTCAAGGCCAACCTGAACTGCATAGTGAAACCCTGTCTCAAAAAAAAAAATTGGCAAGCTAAGTTAAAATAACAGTGAGATGGCATGTTGTACCTCCAAAGCTAGAAAGTTGTTTTGATAAATATATGAAAAAAATGTGCAACATCAGTGGTCATTCCAGAGCTCCAATTTAACACATTGCTGAGATTCCGTCTCACTCCAGAAAGAATGGCCATCATCAAGAAATCAACCAATGACAAATGCTGGAGGGGCTGTGGGAAAAAGGAACCCTTCTCCACTGTTGGTGGGAGTGCAGACCGGTGCAACCACTGTGGAGGTTCCTCAGAAAACTAGAGCTAGAGGTTCCTCTCAGTCTGGCCATTCCACTTCTTGGTGTCTTCCTGAAAGCATCAAAAGCATCATGGCACAGTGACATACGCACACCTGTGTTTACAGCAGCACAGTTTGTAATAGCTAAATCTTGCAAATTAGGGAGAAGCCCAAATGCCCATCAACCAATGAATGGATAAAGATTTTTTTAAGTATAACTGAGTAGTATTCTGCCATAAAGAAGGATAAGCTTGAGACATTTCTAACTAAGAGGATGCACTGTGAGATTATACTCTTAAGTGAAACACTTAAACACACATGTGTAACTAACTATCTGACTGTTTCTCTGGTGTGAGAAACTGAAAGTGTAAATAAGGACCAAAATGTATATTAGATATTGGGAAATGGAAAGAAAATATTCCACTAGGAAGAGGAGCAAGGGAGGGGAGAGGGGGACGGAAAGGAAGAGACAAGAAAAAAGGAAATAGAAGGGAAAAATGGAAATAAAGCTTTTGTAAATGAGGGGAAGAGGGGCTAAAGGGAGGGGAGGGGATTGAGAAAAAACTTATGTGTGTGTTCGTCTAATTACTTACTTTTTGAGACAGGGTCTCACAAAATTGCCCAGGCATGGCTTGAACTAGCAATCCTCCTGCCTCAGCCTCCCAGAGTGCTGGGATTACAGGCCTGTGCCAAAATGCCCAGGTGAGACTTTATTTTCAAAACGTCTGGCTGATGGGTTTGGCCTGTAAACCGGTCCTGCCCTAGGTAAAGGGGCCACCATGCCAGCCCTGACCCAGAACTCTAAGAAAGGACGGGAACTAGACGAGGGCCTCTGCAGGAGGTTCTAGTACCAAGCAGATCCTCTTGCAGGCCTCTCCCAGCCTCAGGTGGAAGTTGCCAGGGTGGGTGATACTTTGGCCTCCACAGCGTCCCTGGAGACAGTGCAG